CTTTCTGTAGTGGGAGGCCCAAAACTGAACATAATATTCCAGATGTGGCCTCACCAGTGCTGAATAGAGGAGAGTAATCACTTACCTTGACCTAATGGCAACACAGCTACCAGTGCAGCCCAGTATGCCATTAGCCTTCTTGGCTTATTTTTCACTGTAACCCCCAGGTCATTTTCTCCAGAGCTGCTGTCCAGCCAGTCAGCCCCCAACCTGTACTAAGGCATGGGATTGCTCCTTTCTAAGTGCAGGAATTTTCATTTGTCCTTGTTGAACCTCATGAGATTTCTTTTAGCCCAATCCCCCAATTTGTCCAGCTCACACTGAATCCTAGCCCTACCCTCCAGCATATCTACTACTCCCTCTAGCTTGGTGTCACCTGCAAACTTGCTGAGGGTGCACTCTATGCCATCTTCCAGGTTGTTGATGAAAACATTGAACAAAACCGGCCCTAGGACCGGCCCATAGGCTCCACTTGATATCAGCTGCCAACTAGACATTGAGCCATTGATTACTACTCCCTAAGCCTGATGTTCCAGGCAGTTTTCTATCCACCTTACAGTCCATTCATTCAGCCCATACTTCCTTAGCTTGCCTGCAAGAATGTATCAAAAACCTTGCTAAAATCCAGGTACACAACATCCACTGGTCTCCCCACATCCAAAGAGCCAGTCATCTCATCACAGAAGGCAATCAGGTTGGTCAGGCATGATTTGCCTCTGGTAAACCCATGCCAACTGTTCCTAGTCACATTTTTCTCCTTCAAGTGCTTAGAAATTTCTGAGGATTTGCTCCATGATTTTTCCAGGGACTGAGGTGAGGCTGACTGGTCTGTAGCTCCCTGGATACTCCCTTCTCCCTTTCTTAAATATGGGCCCTATGTTTGCCCTTTTCCAATCATCCAGGACCTCTCCTGATCGTCATAAGTTTTCAAAGATGGTGGCCAGTGGCTCTACAATCACATCATCCAACTCTCTCAGCACACTCAGGCGCATCCCATCTGGCCTCATGGACTTGTACATGTTCAGTTTTTTTAAGTAGTCCCTTACATATTCTTGCATCACTGAGGGCTTCTCACCACCTCTCCAAACTGTGCTGCCTGGTGCAGTAGTCTAGGAGCTGACCTTGCCTGTGAAGATTGAGACAAAAGAGGCATTGAACACTTAAGCCTTTTTTGCATCCTCTTGACAAGGTTGCCTTCCCCATTCAGTAAGGGACCCAAACTTCCCCTGATCCTCCTCTTGCTACCAGCATACTTGTAGAAGCCCTTCTTGTTACCCTGCACATCCGTTGCCATTGCTAGCTGCAATTCCAATTGTACTTTGGCTGTCCTGACTTCATCCCTGTATGCCTGAGCAATGCTCTTATATTCTTCCCTAGTTATTTGTCTAAGTTTCCACTTCTAAAAAATTCCTTTTTGTGATTTAGTTTATTGAAGAGTTCCCTGCTAAGCCAAGCTGGTCTTCTGCCATACTTGCTGGTCTTGCTACGCATCAGGATGGTATGTTTCTTCACTCTCAGGAAGGCTTCTTTAAAGTACAGCCAGCTCTCCTGAATTCCTCTCTCCCACAGTCTGGCTTCCCTGGGGATCCTGCCCATGAGTTCCCTGAGTGAATCGAAGTCTGCTTTTATGAAGTCCAGGGTCCTTACTCTGCTGTTCTCCATGCTTCTTTTTCTCAGTACCCTGAATTCAGTCATCTTGTGGTCACTGTTGCCTAAGTTGCCATCCACTACTACATTCCCCACAATTCTTCCCTGTTTGTAAGCAGCAGGTCAAGAAGAGCACAGCTCCTAATTGGCCGCTCCAGCACTTGCACCGGTAAGTTGTCCCCAATACTCTCCAAAAACTTCCTGGATTGCCTGCGCACTTCTGTATTGCTGTCCCAGCCGATGTCAGGGTGATTGAAGTCCCCCATGAGAATCAGGGTCTGTGATCAGGAAACTTCTGCTAGATGTTTGAAGAAAGCCTCATCTACCACTTCCTCCTCATCTGGTGGTCTATAGCAGACCCCCAACATGACATCACCCTTGTTGCTTTCCCCTCTGACCCTAACCCAGAGACTCTCAACAGGCCTATCTCCAGCTTCATATAGATATGTTTGACTTGCATCTTGCATGGCCTCCTGAGGAAGGTCACTTGATGCCTCAAAGCTTATTCAACAGTTCTCCCATCTTTCCAGCAGTTGGTCCAATAAAAGAGATAATAGAAAACTTCTTGCCTTTCTTGAATCTTCTTGTCACTTGTTACAGCTATGAATACTCACTGTGTTTAAGTAAATGTAAGCCCAGATCCACGAAGGTATTTAGGCACCTAACTCCTAGTGGGGGTGTCTACACAAGACATTTATTTTGCAGTAAAATCTCAGCATCTACACGTGTGGTCCTATTAGTCCATAGTAAACTAATTATCTCTGCTGTAGGTTAGTACTTGTCAACACAAGCACTATCCTACAATGGCATTATTTAGTGCACCGCAACACATGTAGATGCTGATGGGGCTGGCTGGGGCATGAGGGTGCTTCAGTGTGGGGGGCTTCCTGCTGACTAGCCCTGCTCTGGAGCACCCTTTTGCCTCAGCCATCCCCTCCACTGTATGATGACCTAGGTTGAAGCAGCCCCAGGCTGGCAGGCAGACCTCCAGGGCTCCCTGCCAGCTGGGGTGTTCCACTCTGGCTCAACATGCTGCACTCCTGGGCACACATGTAAATGTCCAGGGGCAATAAATACCAGCATAAACTGTTCTGGAGTATATTCAATCACATTAATAGGATATGTAGTCATGCCCAGTGGAACTCCAATCTGGTTCAAAGTCAGTGAGCAATAAAAGCCTGCTAACCACTATAAAAACTCAGCATGACAATTTTAAAATATTATATTTCAAATATTTATATGCTCTAAAAATAATCATAATGTCATGACCTTCTTTTTATCACTTTTTCCATAAGTGAATAATTTTAGGGCAACAATACATACATGTCTAGTAAAGTTTTTCATTTTCCATAGATGATTAAAAGACACTTTTGTCCTTAATGCAGGCACAGCAAAAATTATTATAAATCTTGCCCTTTCAGCATCTATCTACACTGGAGGTCAAATCTTAGTTACTTTAACCAAGCTGGTAATCCCAATAAGGTCACTCAGTGGGGCTTTAATTTCAGTGAAGCAAGTGGTATAAGGCCTGATTTGGAAATGACTTGGCACCTTTCTAGAGTCATGCTTAACTGGAAAACACAGAAGAAACATACTAACTCAAGCTGATCTTTTAGCTTGGACATTTCTCTGTACAAGCAACCCCTGCTTAGCACTCTTAATTGGTTCCAGAAAAACAAAGCACTAAGCGAAACTGCGCTAAGCGAACCCCATTTTCCCATAGGGATGAATGTAAATATTGGTAATTGATTACTGCAGCTTCTTGCCACCATTTCCCACTGCCGCCGCCTCTCCCCATTAGCCTCCTGGCCGCTCCAGTTCCGCATACCAGCCCGGGCCTGCATTCATGCTGCCTCACCCTGGGCCTCCACAAGCCCTGGCCCCAGGCACCAACACAGACCCTGCGCTAATGCCTGTTTCCCCCACTCACTGCTTCTCCCCGCCGCCACCTCTGTCCGCCGGCCCACTGGCCCCATGTGCCAGCCTGAGCACTGGCACTCCTGCTGCCCTGTTCTGGGCATGGGCCTCTGCTGGCCCTGGCCCCAGGCCCCACACTCCTGCTGCCCCACCCTGGGTGCAGGGCCCCATTGGCCCCGACACAGGCCCTGCACTTCTCACCACTGCTGCTGCTTCAGCTGGTGAACTCAGGCGGTGGAGCATCCCACAGGAGCAGGGTGGATGTTTGCAGCTGGCCAGGAGCAGGGCAGTTTGCAGCGTCCCTTCTACTTTGCCCAGCCAGGTGTAAACCCCACCCCATTCCCAGACGACTGCAAAACCACCACCCCCTCCACCACCCCAGCAGTCTGTATTCAGCAGCCGTGCTGGGCTTCTCCCTATCCCCATGCTCACGCCTGCCCCACACTCGCTGCCATTCATCGCACTTGCTGCTGCCACTGCCGCCACTGCTTCTCTCTGCCTTCCCACCAAAGCTCGCTGACTCCATTGAGTGCTATAGCAAAACTCACTGAGCACTCAGAGGAACCAGGTATCAATTTTAAATGAGCACTATAGCGAAATAGCACTGACTGAAACCATGTTAATGGGTGCTGCCTGTATTAGGATGTTTGGACTTCCTGGATAATTGGGCATTAATTCACTTAAATCATGGTGCAGTACATTAGCTTCTATGGGATCTGGATCCGTGCCTTGGGTCCCCTGTTAGTAAGTGTTTACAGTAATTTTTTGCTGCCAGAGAATATAGTAAGAATGTACTCATTAATGTCTACACAGTGTCTTGAGTGCTTTGGATGGAATGTGCTGTAAAAGTGCAAAATACTGTTACTATTGTTTTAAATAGCACAATAATAGCATCTTCTAATCTCATCGTTGTCTAGGCAATCCTGTCCCCTTTATAGCAAAATCTCCACTGATTTTGCTCATTAGACTTTGATTTACTCCTACAGCTTCCATGGACTTGAATTTTGCTTGTTCAAATTAATGTGCAACCTGATTCTGAATTGCTTGGGTGCCAAAAACTTAACTGATGTTACTGGGAATTTTGAATATGCAAGGAATGCAGGATCAGGCTGACAACTTGTAAGCCCCATGGGGGTTGGTGTTTGTGTTGCTATACATGCACAAGCTTGAAAGACCTACGTGATTATCTCTATAAAAGCATAAAAGGAAAAGAAGTGTCAAAAATGTATCTCTTTCAAATGGCAAAGGATGGCTCCCAGCCAGATAAAGGATATTTCAGATAGTATATTTTACAGTAAATACATATGTAATGACATACATGTAGTATGATTTCTCTTAAGTATTTTGTAAATGTTTCTCTTGTTTTTCAACATTATAAAATAATATTGGCCCATTTTATCAGACTTTAAGAAAAAGTACATTTTCTTTTCTTTTAGGTAAACTTTTTTTTCCTGTTGAATATTGTGCGAGTTCTTATAACAAAGCTAAAAGTTACACACCAGGCAGAATCTAATCTGTATATGAAAGCTGTGAGAGCTACCCTGATTTTAGTGCCACTTCTTGGCATTGAATTTGTGCTGATTCCATGGCGACCAGAAGGACGTATTGCTGAAGAAGTATATGACTATGTGATGCATATCCTTATGCATTATCAGGTAGGAAGCTTTTAGTAATACTTGTCACTTATCCTAAAGAGTAGTCAAGATGTGAATGGAAGCTTTAAAGATAACCACAATTTTATTATTTCAATGTATTTAACAACTGTGTAAATTATTTTTTGTTACATTTCATTTAAACTAACCCTTTAAAACCGGGGTGTCAAATTCACCTTGCTCCCAGGCAAGATCCTGATAGTAGGGCTCTTTGAGCCAGATTTGGACCTGGTGGTGGTCGGGCAAGCAGAGCAGGCAGCATGGTTGTGTCAGCACAACCCTCTCACCCTCCTGTTACCCATAGCCATAGCCATTCCCAATGGAGCTGTGTAGCTCTGGATTCTGTGGCAGGCCCAACCCCCTGCTAGCCTCAGCCCTGAATTGCCTGGCTTACCAGAGCTCTGCAGTCTGGAGGGAACTTTGGGCTGGATCCGACCCATGAGTCATATGCCTGATGGCCCTATTTAGAAGAAATAAAATGTCACGTTAAATGCCTGGCCAAATGACTACTAATTGAATTTTCATTTGCAATCCATTTTCTCCTTTGCTAGTTGCATATTAATTAGGAATTTTAAATATTTTTATAGCTCAAAATATCTGTAAGAGCCAAAACTTTCTGTTTGTTTGTTTTGCAGGGTCTGTTGGTGGCTACAATTTTCTGCTTTTTCAATGGAGAGGTATCGTAGCTGATTTAAATTTATTTCTTGTTCATTTCATTTTTCAAGTTTCAATTTCAGTTTTTTTAAAAAGCTATTTATGATCCCAATGACAAATGTAAAGTTTTAAATGAGACTTAAAAGAAATATGTAAATGACAAGTAAGAGAATGGTATTTGAGCTTCCCTTTTCTGACAAGAGATTAATTAAGGTAAGGAATTTCCTCTAATATAGTTCATGGCATTACAAGTACTGAAGGGCCCATTCCTGTTAGAAGCTGAGTAGATGCCAAGTAGCTTCAGCCTTTATTTCAGAATTAATGCAAGTCACAAAGCATTCTGCAGACTTTTTGTATGGAAAAGATCATATGAAAATATCATATTCAAACCTGGCAGAAATGATTCTAGAAAATAAGCACTTAAGTGTCCTCACTGTGGCAGCCTCAGTCCCAGTAAGACGGCACAGTGAAGAAACACCTTTAACTTCCTCTGCTATAATATATCATCTCCAGCTTCTGAGTCTTTTAATCTGGTAACTCCATTAATACTGAGCCCTGCTATAAAATGAGGAGGTGAGGGGGAATCACCTGTTTTAGTTTGGATTTTTAAAATCTTTATGGCAAAAAGAAAAAGATAAGCTTATGTTTTAGAATTGTTTTTTAAAATTATAAAGGCAAAATGACTATTTTAGGGCAAGGCCTTAAAGCTTTATACATTTACATTACGAAACAGTTATCTTCATCGCAGTGCAACCTCATTGTTCTTAGAATCCTGCCTAGTAGAATCAGTGAACGAGTGGTCTGAATCCTACAAATACCGATACATATAAAAACAGCAAATATTGTTCACATTCACTCATTGGTATTGCTGCCACTTGGGAGGGGAGCAGAAGCAGCAAAATTCTGTTAATATAAGAATTGAGTAAAGTTTATTTCCAAATTGGAATAAAATTAATGGGCCTGAAACTTTCTCAATAAACTGTCTGTTATTTTTCAGAATTGTTGGGATGCTTGAGAGATATTGGGGAGGGAACTCCCAGAGCACCTTCATTACTGTGTTTCTGAGTTTTGTAGGAAGTGAGGGGCCAGAGCATGCTGAGCATGTAGGAAGTTAGTGGCCAGGAGTTCAGGCATAAGACATAAGATTCATGTGTAGAACGTAAGAGGTCTCAGTTTAATTGGCAGCCTTTGTAGCTTTGGGCAAGTCACTCTGGTTCACTGTATCTCAGGCCCCTGCTACAGAGTTGCGTATATTATACAGTTAATTGGTTAATAGCGCAATAAATTTAAACCAACCACATGTGCAAAGTAAGACCGGCCACGAATGCAAAGTAAATTATCACACAATTAACAAGTTAATCATGCAATAAACTTAGACCAGCCACATGTACAAAGTATATTAACACACCGCAAAAATGACCTATTGATCTATAAAAAAAGCCAACAAAGTTAATGCTTGAAAGTGTGTAACAACTCTATAGCTGGTTTCTATCCCACTTTAATTTGAACATGTAGCAAGACCCCTGAGGTGCCTATACATGACCGTGGAGGCTGCTGAAACCCACTGTAATTACAGCACGCTGGAGCAGACTTGATTAATCGTATCTGCTAGAGCATGGCATTTACTGTGCTCCAGCCAGCCTCCATGTCTAATGTGTCAGGATCCCCGCACTCCAAAATGGTGGAGAGGATGCTTTATCTAAAGCTCGTCAAACAAAGTGTCCCCGCCACCATACTGAAGCATGGGGATGCTGATAGACAAGATGCTCTTGGTGCTTTAACTTGAGCAGCTCTCAGAGCCACCCCACCTCCAGATCACATGTATAGACACCCCAAATGTCCTGTTTTTAAAAAAACCCAAGCTGTCTGTCACTTCTATTTAAATTTTAAGTTATCAGTTCTTCAGTGTGTGGCTTACTATGTGCATGTACTATGGACATTCATGGCAAATAAAATAATTAGTAATGATAATAAGAATGTTAACATTCATTTAGGACTGCACGTATCTTTTAATCAATTGAGAATTGAGGCTTTCATATTGAGAGTTTAGGTCACAGCATCAGAATAATAGGCAAGGAGTGGAATTTTAGCAACTTCTGAACTTCCTTTCTCAGAAAGACAGATATTTTATAACATTCCTGTGACTCACAGCTTCATTTAATTGAAATGGGTTCTTTACAGTGTGAAAAATTAAGCTTGCATTCTAACCTTATTCAATATGTGGCAGAACTTCCTTTGATGTAAACTGGAATAGTACATACAGCTCCAGACAGAAATACTGAATTTTTTACGTAAAGAGAGCTAGAACTCAGATCCACAAAAGTATTTAGACAGCTAATATTTGTTCAATGCTTTGATGATCTGCACTTATGAAGTGCAGACTAAAAGACTTGCAGTGGATTCAGACAGATGGTAATCCAGATGGGGAAAAATATACTGGCTTCCTACTTTAACTGATTTCTTTTGATAATTGTCTATAAGTTTATTATTGTCTCTTTTTTGAGAAATATTAAGCCCTTTTTTTAACTAAGGCTTTGATAACAGACTTCAGGAAGTCCAAAGTTTATGTCTGTGCTGTTCTATTTTTATTTTTCTTTCAAAATTAAAGCCACAGTGACCTTAGGCAAAATAAGCCATTGTGCTAGAAAATGTAAACCAAACAAAAACCAGACATAATGAAAGTACTGACCCACAACAGTTGGTCACCATTAGTCTTGCAAGTTGTGGCTTATCATGTAATTTTGTGTTCATCAATAAATCTGACATAACTGAGTGATTTGGGATATTTAATTTGTGAAGACAATTTCACCATAGCACTCTCTGAAATCAACCCCCGCCTCCCCACAAGTTAGCTGCCCATCATTTTCAATCCTTTTTGAAAGCCTAACAAGGAAATAAATATTATAGCTCAGGGGTGTGCAATTATTTCAGGTGGAGGGCCACTTAACAAGTTTTGGTGAGCTGCTGAGGGCCACATGGGTAGTCCCACCCCTTAACAGTTGCCCCACCAACTTGTTGTCATCTTGGGACTGGAAGACCCACTCATAACCCCTGACCTTTGCCACCAGAAGTCCCTCCCCTTGCCCCCCGGAAATACTCCTTTTGGGAGGTTGCCATCTTAGAACCAGAAAAACACCAAATCATACACTAAAAGTCAAACACCTACTATAACATATTTAAATTTTATTATGAAAAATATTTTGTCATGATTTGTTTGTGTTGTGTATATAAAGTAATTACATAACTCAAAAATAAATTCTTAGTCTTGTATATTGCAGGGGGGGTGTATGGTGGGGTATGGTTGTAGGTGTATGTGTATGGTGGGGTGGGGGGTGGGTGTGTGTGTAGTGGAGTGTGGGAGTGGGGGGTTGGGTATCTAGTGTGGGTATGTGGGGTATGCATGGGGTGGGGGGGGGGGGGGG